ACATTGACTAATGAACCATGAAAATGAGTTCAAGGTCAGATGAACCATGCCAGGCAGACATGTACAGCTTACAATCCTTCCATACAACAAATATAGTTGACCTATTACCTATGACCTATTGATCCTGCTCCACCTGTGTCGGATGCCACATGTGGAGCAGGATCTGCTTACCCTTCCGGAACACCTGAGATCACCCCCCAGTTTTTGGTGGGGTTCGTGTTGCTTAGTCTTTGGTTTTCTATGTTGTGTCATCTGTACTATTATTTGTCTGTTTGTCTTTTAATTTTTGGCCATGGCGTTGTCAGTTTGTTTTCGATCTATGAGTTTGACTGTCCCTCTGGTATCTTTCGTCCCTCTTTTATAGTTTAAGAAAAACAGACCAAAACACAAAAACTTAACACTGAGCAATGAACCGTGAAAATGAGGTCAAGGTCAAATAAAACCTGCGAGACTGACATGTACATTATAAAATATTTCCATACACCAAATATAGTTGACCTATTGCATATAGTATTAGAAAAAAAGACCAAAACTCAAAAACTTAACTTTGACCACTGAACCATGAAAATGAGGTCAAGGTCAGATGACACCTGCCAGTTGGACATGTGCACCTTACAATCATTCCATACACCAAATATAGTAGACCTATTGCATACAGTATAAGAAAAACAGACCAAAACTCAAAAACTTAACTTTGACCACTGAACCATGAAAATGAAGTCAAGGTCAGATGACACCTGCCAGTTGGACATGTGCACCTTACAATCATTCCATACACCAAATATAGTAGACCTATTGCATACAGTATAAGAAAAACAGACCAAAACACAAAAACTTAACTATAACCACTGAACCATGAAAATGAGGTCAAGGTCAGATCCTGCCAGTTGGACATGTACACCTTACAATCCTTCCATACACCAAATATACTAGACCTATTGCTTATAGTATCCGAGATATGGACTTGACCACCAAAACTTAACCTTGTTCACTGATCCATGAAATGAGGTCGAGGTCAGTGAAAACTGTCTGAAGGGCATGAGGACCTTGCAAGGTACGCACATACCAAATATACTTATCCTATTACTCATAATAAGAGAGAAATTAACATTACAAAAAATCTTAATTTTTTTTCAAGTAGTCACTAAACCATGAAAATGAGGTTAAGGACAATGGACATGTAACAGACGGAAACTTCGTATTATAAGGCATCTATATACAAACACTACAAACCAGTAAAAGTCTGAAATGGCCTATACTCGACTGTACTGATTTTTACTCGACCAGTCTGAATTGGTCTGATATTTACTTGATAATACTCGACTGTAGTCTGAACCATACTTAACAGTCTGAACTTGTACTCGACCAGTACTTAACCATTTTATTTTCGTCTGAACCATGCTCGACCTAGTCTGAACCATGCTCGACCTAGTCTGAACCATACTCGACCTAGTCTGAACCATACTCGACTAAGTCTTAACCAACCTAGACCTAATTTTTGTATCTATCTATTGTATTTTATCAATTTAAGAACTGTTTTTAACAGCTATTTCCCCTGGCTAGAAATTTGAACAACGATTAATGAAATTTAAAATGTATTCAATATGGCATTGAAACCAAAATTTCACAATAAACATAATATAAATTCAACACCATATTTATCAACACTTACATATATATATCACCTTTAAAATAAAAATAAAACAAGCTAATCAAATAATCTCAAAACTGAATTGTGACTAATATTTTCAATGTTATTCAAATTTTTTTGAATGTTTCAGATATATTTTATGGTTACTGGACAATTTTCACCATTAACTTAAGCCTTGTATAGATTTATGGTGTCAGTTGAGTTTAGTTAATAATGCAGTGAACATTTTTTTTATTAAAATATATTTAAAATAGTATATAAAGCAACTTAATAAATTTTTAAAATTACACCTTTGTTTTGTAAAACCAAGAATTTAATATAATCATGATAATAGAACTTCCATAGCAATCCTTGATAACCATTTAAAAAAGGAAATGTGTTCCAAAGTTGCAGAAAAAATTTATTTCAATTAAATCTAAATAACTTTTGTCAAAATTAAAGACATGGCATACAAGAAGCACTTTAATAAGGTTTAATTACCTCAGTACATGTGTGTTTTACAGGTAAAAAGAAAGCCCTTTTTTTCTTAAACTCGTATATTACTTATCTAGTGAATTCAAAAGGCTTGCGATTTAAGTTTTACAGGATGTTGCAATTTTTAATGAATGTTAATTAGAAATTAATACTCTCTGACCAGGTGTGATCTTTTTAATGAGTTTGCCCCAAGCAGGAGGTATTACTTTATACTTTACCACTAATCAGAAGATTTTTTTTTTATCTATTTCTTTAATTTTTTTATCCCTTTTTGATATATATTATATATGATATATCCCAAATTATATTAAGAATAGGTATATTTCTAATATAAGGTTAAACAATTTCAGTGATTTTTTGGCTGTTGTTACCTCATTAAAAAGAAAATTATATAACTATTGTATGTAACCATGAAACCTATATAGTTTTTCTTTAGGAATTTAGGAAAATTAAGTTTAAAAAAAAAAAAAAAAAATCCAAACAAGAAGCACCTTAATCATGTTAATAAGGTTTTATTACCCTCAGTAAAGGTGTGGTTTTTAGTTAAAAGAACAAAACTATAAAACTTTAAAATTAATTAATATAATTAAATTATTGTATAAGATAATTTAATTTAACTATGTCTATTTGATAACTTTGAGAATCATGTAAGGATGTAAAAATATGTTTTTATATACTATCTTTATTTTATTGTGGCTGTTGTCATGTCAGAAAAAAAGAAATTAATTTTAAAAGCTAAAATTAAAAAAAGTATAGGTTTTTTGGTCAAGTATGGTTCAGACTGGTCGAGTATTGTTCAGACCTTTGGTCGAGTATGGTTTAGACTGAAAAAATTGGTCGAGTACAGGTCGAGAATGGGTTAAGACTGTTTCAGACTGGTCGAGTAATAGTTCAGACTATTTTCAATGGCAAAGATAAGGGTCGAGTACAAATCAGTATGGTCGAGTATGGTTAAGACTGGGGTCGAGTAATGTCGAGTAAAATTCAGACCAATTCAGACTGGTCGAGTAAAAATCAGTACAGTCTAGTACAGATATAGGCCATTTCAGACTTTTACTGGTTTGTAGTGAAAGTATGAAGCATCCAGGTCTTCCACCTTCTAAAGTTTAAAACTTTTAAGAAGTTAGTTAACGCTGCCGCCGCCGCCAGATCACTATCCCTATGTCAAGCTAAAGTCGCAGACTCGACAATATCCAAAAACTGCAAAATTTCCTTAAAATTACCAATTCAGGGGCAGCAACCCAACAAAGGGTTCTTTGATTCGTCTGAAAATTTCAGGGCAGATAGATCTAAACCTGATGAACATTTTAACCCCCACGTCAGATTTGCTTTAAATGCTTTAGTTTCAGAGATGTAAGCCAAAAACTGCATTTTACCCCTATGTTCTATTTTTAGCCATGTTGGCCATCTTGGTTGGCAAGCGGAGTCATCAGACACATTTTTTTAAACTATATACTCTAATGATGATTGTGGCCAAGTTTGGTTAATTTTGTCTCAGTAGTTTCAGAGAAGATTTGTGTTAAAGATTACAAAAATTTACGAAAAAATTGTTAAAAATTGACTATAAAGGGCAATAACTCCTTAAGGGGTCAATTGACAATTTTGGTGATGTTGACTTATTTGTAGATCTTACTTTGCCAAACATTATTGTTGTTTACAGTTTTTCTCTATCTATAATAATATTTAAGATAATAACCAAAAACTGCAAATTTTTTTAAACAAGATACCTTAATGATGATTGTGGCTAAGTTTGGTTAAATTTAGCCCAGTAGTTTCAGAGGAGAAGATTTTTGTAAAAGTCCATCGTCCACCATTATAGAACTTGTTTGATATATTGGTGATATTAACCTATAGTATAAGTTTTATAAAACTCTGGAAAGAATTGTACCCAGGCGTCGCTAACAAGGCCATTTTCCATAAATTTAATATTTCCAAGGGACATATAGATATAAGAAGATGTGGTATGAGTGCCAATGAGACAACTCTCCATCCAAGTCAAAATTTATAAAAGTAAACCATTATAGGTCACAGTACGGTCTTCAACACGGAGCCTTTGCTCACACCGAACACAAAGCTATAAAGGGCCCCAAAAATTACTAGTGTAAAACCATTCAAACAGGAAAACCAACGGTCTAATCTATATAAAAAACGAGAAACAAGAAACACTTATGAACCACATCAACAAGCGACAACTACTGAACATCAGATTCCTGACTTAGAACAGGTGCAAACAAATGCAGCGGGTTTAAACGTTTTAATGGTACCAAACCTTCACCCTTTTTCTGAAACAATAGTGTAAAATCACAACATAGAAAGACACTTTTGAAAAAAAGTCGATCGTCCACCATTATAGAACTTGTCCGAGATATTGCTGATATTAACCTATAGTTTAAGTTTTATAAAAATGTGGCAAGAATTGTACCAGTGAGAGCGCTAACGAGGCCATTTTCCATAAATTTAATATTTACAAGGGGCATAACTCCATTAAAAAAAGTCGATCGTCCACCATTTTAAAACTTGTTCGAGGTATTGGTGATATTAACCTATAGTATAAGTTTTATAAAACTCTGGCAAGAATTGTACCCATGAGAGCGCTAACAAGACCGGATGGACACACTGACGGAAGGACAGACACCCGGTATTTCCATGGCCCCCACAACGTATTACGCAGGGGACAAAAATAGTTTGTTGAAAAGAAGTATGAGGATGATGACAAAACACAAACGACAGATATTGAACCCTATCTGTGAACTCAGATACACAGTCATCAAAGTAACAATAGCTCATGATCACCAGCTCCTCATTCCAAACAGTAGAAATATCCATTTATTATGCTAGCTTTATCTTCTCACCATGCAGTAATGAAATATATAAGTTATGGAGAAATATCTTATTTATTTTGATTTTTGAAACAAACAGGTGCATTGCAAAATTATACATAACAATTTTAATCCCTTGAAATCAAGCAGTACACAATCTTATTAGCAGTATTATTGTAGCATTTTATGTTGCAATAATAATTTAATCGTGCACAATATTCTTCATTATTGCTTTAAAACAATGCCTAAAAATTAAACCACAATAAATCATTGTATAATATTCTATATCAAACACAACAATAAAAAAGTATATTATAAATCTTTCTGTAGAATCAAAATCAATTCTTAAAGTTAATTACAGATCATAATTAGAAAAATAATTAGTATCTCAAAAAGATTTTAAAAAAAACATCATCCTTTATGATTTAAAAATAATCTTGAAAGCTCAAAACCACTAGCTTAATTAAAGCATGCAATTTGTAATATAATTAGCACAAAAACTGTAATGACAGAAAAAAACAATTTTAACTGTTCAGCTATTAACCAAAAACATTCATTTGCATTTATAAAATCCCTTACATATTTACTAAGCTGAAATCACTCTGAACATAAACTGTAGTATTTAACCTGCCGTAAGAAATGTAAATGCCTCTTCAGAATTCCCCCCACCCCACCACAAAAAAAAACACAATCAGAAAATAAAAAAATACATTTAACTTAAAAATGATGTAATATTAAATATAAAAAAAAGTATTCTGTAACATCAAATTTTACAATGTAGAGCATAATTGTGAAAACAGTCAACAACCTAAACAAACAATTCTACCACTTTTTAAATACAACTTGGACATAATATATAAGAAACAGATTGGGGAATGCATGAACATACATTTAGACTAGGATAAAGAGTATTACAATCATTTTAAGAACATATGAAAGGCAGACAGTATAAAAAGGTAGTATAAAGTTAATATATGAATCATGGTGATTACTGTGAAAACTTTATAAATGAAACACCAGGCATACGTTTGTAAGTACTTCATGATTATACAATGTACCTTTTCTTTTGGAGGATATATACTCATTTAACATTGTGCTGGAAAGGTTGTTTACTCAATGTGATTCTACATATTCTAAAATCTGCCTACTACAGATATGCGGAATTTTCACCGAAAAAATCAAAAACTTGTGAAAATCCTTGCACAACAATATGAGAAATTCTTAATTTAATTTTTATTCAAGATATTTAAGATCTTTACAAAAATGTTAATCATAGAATTAGTCTTTATATATTAAAGTCAGTTTTGTGTGTTTAAGCAATAGAAAAAGAATTTTTTTTAAAGAAAAATTAAAAAAAAATTATGCATTGATAGCAAATTAAATTACAAAAATTGATCTGAAAAACATTTGCCTGTAAACTCACAGAGAAGACTTTACAAAAATGTTAGGAGAGACATGCATTTGGTAAACAATAATTTACTATATGTATATTTAAAATTTGTTGCTTTCTTTATGTTTTTATGATTCAACCCCTTTTAATGCCTTAGTAATATAAGTCATTATTTTCATTATTCATAAGTATTCCATTGAATGATTGAAATATTGAGAAAAAACTATAACTAATTTCTGTTGATGCTTTGTCCCATTTCAAAACAAAGAAAGTTTAAAATGCTTTAGCAGTTCCAAACAATTAGTCCTCTTTAAATTTAATTATTTAGTAAATTCCTAGTACATATTCCTCCCCTTTTATATTAGGGAAGTGAGTAGGTCTTCTTAAAATTTTCAGTGTGTTAAGAACATCCTTTGTTGGATAGGCCTTGCTCTGCCAGTCATCTGATTCTTGTTTACCAATCACATCAATTGTATTTGACCTCAGAAGGGCATTTCTGTACATAAAGGAAGAAAAGTCATCACAAAGGTGTAAGGTTACTTCATCTTTTCCTTTGACATTATCTTCATATTTCTTCTTTTTGTTTACATCTGAAATATGTCGAGATTTGAACACCATTGGTCTGTCTTGTCTTGTTGGATCGTTTGACAGGTATCTATCAATAACTTCATCCGGTAGATTTGGTTTCTGGATCTTCATGGATTTCAACTTTCTATGTTTGGAGTTTTCATCTATGACATTAACTTTCGGTGCAAATTTCCCATCATAATACATTGAAGCAGATTTATTCTTTGGCATCATAGTATACATATCTCGTGGATACTCATCTGTAAGGTTTGTAATGTAGCCTGGTTTAGGAGGATGTAATGCCAGTCTCCAGTCATATGGATGTTCTACAGCTGTTCTAGCTCTTGGTTTCTTTTCTAAATTTTCCTTCTCCTCAGACTTTGATGCCTCCTCTGAGCTACGGAATGAAAACCCTCTTATGTATTTGGAGCCAGGTGTTGGGGTACTTGCATTTTCAAATGACACATGTATCTTACTGTCTGTATCTTTATCTCTAGAATATACTTGGTCTTGAGGTGGTGCTTTGCTATTTGATTTTTGTAATGGTTCCCTTTTACCCTTTGTCTTCTCCATTTCATCTTTCGTTCTGGGATCAGGTATATTTTTCTTCTTTAGCCAATCCTGGTATGATTTCTCACCATAGAATTCTTGTGCCTTTTGCAAGTCTTCAGCTTCTTCTAGTTCTTTCAACACTTGCTGCATTTTCAATTGTTTAAGCTGACCCATCTCTTTAGCAACACCATCTTTGTCCTGGTGCCACAGCTCTGCTGCCAGAATTCTGAAACATCACTAAATGTTATAATAAATTTTACCAATTTAAGTTTTTTTTAAATGCTGAGTAACAAAAGTGACTTTGCCTTAGATTTTATTATCTTAAGTTTAAAAGTAATAACTGCAGTTTTGTATTAAAATGTCTTTCCTTGTATTAGTATTTTATTGGATCAATGTCTAACTGACATTGATCAAATCTCTCCTTTTATTAATTTTCTACTATATATACAAATATTGTTCCCATTAACTAAATAAATGACAATAAATGTATTGCTGCTAAAAAAAGCCTACTAAGGCAATAAAAAATATGTGTCTGTTTCCTGCTACTAGCTGTAAAAAAATGTTTGGTCAGTCTATTTTTTTTTTATTTTTTTGTGTATCAACAAAAACCAGAAATAGCACATGTTTTTTTTCCAAGTCAAATTTAGTTTAAAACAACTTCCAGTATTGAGCACATGCACAATGGTAATTTTTTACTTTCAAATGTTCTAACCACTTTTTTCATTGATTATGGTCAATTGTATTACAAATTTGACTCAATAATCCAGCAGAAATAAGATTTGCAGTCTACTCAAACTACACAAAATGCTATTTCTTTAACAACATTTTGGAAAGGCAATAATTAAGATCAGCCATCAAACTTGGTTTTATAAAAGGGATATGAGCATGTTGAAGGGTTATGTAGTTTTCAGGTAGAATGGAAAGATCATTCTGCCTGTAACCTACTATTTTTACCATTCAACAAGTTTTTTTTATTTTTTAAATAAACTGTTGACACAGAGATATGTCTTGCCTATATGTGATTTTGATAGTATAATGCAAATGTTGAAATAGAAATGACAATTCTTTAAAACATAACAACTATGCAAAACATTCAAAGTCAATAAACCATGACTGAAGGTGAAGGGCTTATACAACTGCATACTAAATAGGATTGAATTTAATATCATAAGTGATTCTCTTTAAACTGACCTGAACACAAACTTTAACATTTAAACTATTCAAAAGTTTAAAAGGCAATGAACCATGATTGAGGGGACAGGCCATATAATCTCCCTGGAAATGAGACATTCAAATACTAATACAACTTCATACCAAATATTTACTTACCATTTGTGGTTCATCTTAAACTGAACTAATCACAAACTTTAACATGTAAAATATGCTAAAGTTTCAAATCAATAGGCGATGACTAAGGGGATGAGCCAAACTATCTCCATGGACATGAGATGTGCCAATGCTTATACAACTACATTCCAAATGTCATTGACATACGAGTTGTGGCTCCCCTTGAACTGACCGAATCACAAACTTTAACATGTAAACTAATGATAGGTAGGGATCTCCATGGATAAAAATATAACCATGAAGGATTTTAATCAGGACAAGACCCTGTGTGTCGTGATTGAAATTATTTCAACATCAATAGACATGACTGAGAGGGCAATGAAAAGCAGTGAAAAGCAATGTTGCAATGATATATATGGTATCATTCAGTATATAATGGGATTGTTTTGTATACACCTTCATATCATATTACCTCTTTTAAAAGTTTAGAATTTAAATACCTTGCACATTTTTTATGTCCCCATAATTTGGCCAGATCCAGTGGAGTATGACCACGGCAGTCTTTTCCATCAATCTGGGCCTCAACCTCAATCAATAATTTCAAACACTGAACATGACCTTCTGAAGCTGCTTGGTGCACTGGTGTAATTCCATCATTGTTAACACTGAAAGATGGCAAAAACTATATTAGACTTTAATAAGTATATTATTGGAATATATACATGTAACATTTTATAACTAGAGATTTTGTTGAGCCTGTATCACTAAAATGGCGTCTTTCATAAAAAAATATTTACTAAAGTAAGGTAATAAAAACCTGTTTTCTTCATACAACATTTAAGCTTGAAATTTTATGAATATTTTTACATTTATATTGCTCTCTCAGCTTATATATAGAAGATAAAATTTCCAATCTAAACCAGTTGAATGGTTTCGAAAATAATTCTTTTGAATTTCATTTTTTAAGCATCTATTTTTGTATTATAAATAATCTGCTTAACATTATGGCGATGACCCTTTTTCGATTATTAGACAGAGTATTTTTGACTTTACAAGTAAAACTTTTGCAGATAGTATTTTTTTCAACAACAAAAAAGGAAGTAACTGTACGTATTTTTCCTTTCTTTCAAAATTAAAAATAAATCCCAAAATTTTCAAATCTATTTTTTTCCTCTCAACTTAAACAAAACCCTTACAATTCTATGCTTACTTTTTCAATTCCATGCAATGAAATTTACAAAATGAAACTGATTTCAAATAGGCTACATTAAGATCTATTATAAGACTTGTAAGACTGGAGTACAACAACATGACTTACACAGATGGATTAGCTTTTTTGTCCACCAGGTACTTCAAACATTCCAAGGCCCTCTTTCCCGTCTGATTACTTATGCTCAGGTGAACTGCTCTCCAGCCAGTTGTACTTGGCAAGTTTATATTATATTTGTACTTCTCAATCAGTAGCTTTAAGCATTCCAATCTACCATGGATGGCTGCTAAATGTAAAGCTGAAAGACCCTAAAAATATAAAAAATATGAACTACATAATACATGACAGATGATGTAAATGTAAGACTTGTGTGCATTAGATAGCTGTTTAAAGTCTGGTTCTAAAAAAATGACATGCTTGCTTTCCCCTACATCAGCTGGATCAAATTAAGAGTAAAAATCAGAAAAGACAATTTATAAGAATAAATTACTGAAGCACCATTGGCACATGAGCTGAGTTGCAATCTTTATGGATTTGTAGTAGAAGATTTTTGTGTCAAATCTGCCAAAAATTTATGACAAATGGATAGCAAAAAATGTTTTTTTTTTACTGAGATTTCATTCTATTAGTTACTGAAACCTTGACCTTTGACCTAAAAATTAATAAATTTCTTTTTCACCCCAAAGGCACATTACATAATCTACCAACATAGATAAAAATCTGATTCATGGCTCAAAAGATATTGTCCCGAAACAACTTTCCCTAAATTTCAGTCTATTTAAATTTACTGTGACCTTGACCTAAATAGGGTCTTTCTCATTTCTACGTGTGATTCTTTTACAAATTTTGGTGAAGGGTAGACATACATGTAATCATGTATGGACATAATTGGTTCAATTATAACATCTTGAAACCAAATTTTTGTCCAATTTTGGTCTACCAATTACTGTTTTAACCTTACATTTGACCTATAGCTAGTGACCTCAAAATTAAAAAAAGTGTTTTTCAACTCATAGGGCATTACCTGATCACAAATAGAAAAAATAGACATGTGGTTCAAAAGATAAATGTTGCTCAAATTCAGTCTATCACTACCTGCTGTCACCTTGACCTTTATCCTATTGACCTCTAATCAATAGAGATATTTTTTCATCCCATGGGGAATTAACTCACCAAGTTTGGTTAAAGTTGAGCATATGGTAGAAAAAAAACTCTGGAAAAAAAACTTTTGCTCAAATTTCAGTTTATCAATACTGGTAGTCACCTTAACCTTTGACTCCAAAATCCATAGGATCTTCTACATCCTATTGGGCATTATTTAAGCCAAGTATCGTTAAAGTTGGACATACATGTATGGTTAAAAAAATAACAGCCTGAAACCAAAATTTTGCAAATATTTTAGTCTATCAATAGCTGCTGTGACTTTGACCTATTGACCTCAAAATCAATAGGCCTAGGGTCTTTCTTAAGTTAAGATATTCCTTATGGCATGAAAGAATTTGTCCAGAAACTGAAATGTTGACATCAAGAAGTCCAGACACAATAAAACCATTCTTCGTATCATAAGCAGACTTCCACTTTATTGCAATTCAGCTAAAAAATTTTGCTATTAGAAAGTTACATGTAAAATTGAGAATGGAAATGGGGAATATGTCAAAGAGACAACAACCCGACCAAAGAGCAGACAACAGCCGAAGGCCACCAATGGGTCTTCAATGCAGCAAGAAAATCCCGCACCCGGAGGTGGTCCTCAGCTGGCCCCTAAATAAAATTGTGTGCTAGTTCAGTGAAAATGGACGTCACACTAAACTCCAAAACATATAAATGAACTAAAATTAAAAAACATACTAGACTAACAAAGGCCAGAGGCTCCCGACTTGGGACAGGCGCAAAAATGTGGCGGGGTTAAACATGTTTTGTGAGATCTCAACCCTCCGGCTATACCTCTAGCCAATGTAGAATAAAGAAACACATGACTTTGATGCAATGTAAAACAAAGTGCAGATGCAAATATCATTTATATACAACAGCACAAAAACAACTTACATGTATAGAAGACATTGAGTTTCTGAAATATGAAACCAAGAGTTCAGTTATCTCAAGTCAACGCAGAAATTTATGTTATATTTACTGGTGTATTCATGAAAATGACCTGAATGTTACTGCACAATCAGATATAATACTAAAAAGCACAGGTTAACACAAAAAAACGTTTTTGTCAATCATACATAAAACTATCAAACATAGAATTATTTCTGTTCAATACATGCAAAAGAGGCCCTGGAATCACTCATCTGACATTTTGTCCAAAAATAACTCCTTAAAGTCATGTGAAACAACTTTAATGTTATCGGAATTATTGAACCAATGCATGCATATATAATAAACTAAGTCCTGTATGCATGCTTTTTATATTTATTACGAATCTATAACGTATTATCGACACATAATATTTCATGCAATGATTGTTGATCGCAAGCTAATTAACTTTCGAGTTTGTTGCCAAAGTTTACCGAATCGTGACACTGATAAACATTCAACACAGAACATGTGGAGCACGTGACAAATAAGTGAATTGATATAGCATGATATTTTTTTGTAACTTCCATGCATTAACATTTGTTAATTAAACTTTTCCTCAACAGTAGTTAAATGATTTTTTGTATTAAATGTGTTCTTTAAGAATCAGTTATTACTATTTACCTTCAAGTGCATGTTTGTTTACATTTTTTAATCACGGTTTTCTATTCTACGCTGGCCGAAGTTTTAATAAGAGGTCACGTAGTTAAGGTCACTGCATACGGGAAAATATCGGCGAAATAGTAGGACCGTTAATGTTCATATGAATGATATGTGTATAACAGTAATGTTTAGTTGGGTTTTAATTTATTGATAACAAATTCAATATTTATACCAATAAAAACAATATATTAATTTATTATAAACATCTTTTACTGATAATATAACTTTGACTTATAACGATTCATTTTAATAAAAAAAAAAAAGCAAAGTTTAAACATTGCTTTATTGTTATTAACTCAAATAATCTAATTTTAGGCCACCAGACTCCGGTACCACGATTTCCCGAGAAATACAAGAACAACGTAATATCCCAAAGACAAACAGATTTATCACGATAACAAGATTTAAAGATTTTTTATGGTGTTATACTACTTTTAACAATATTAAAGAATATTAGTTAAAGATATTACTCGTTTTTACTCAATAAAAATGCAATTTCACTTTTTTTTAATAATTTTCTTGTATATTATACCATTGTATACATTGGATTTGTACTTGAAATAAATAATCTGATCTCTATATTTCTTATTTGATATATCCGGAGAGAAACATACGTAATTGTGGAATTATGTCTTAAACCTTATAATTGTATGCTGTTACACTAATTTAAGCAGTATAACACCATGTAAAATCTTGTTATCGGGACAAATCAGTTTGTTTTCGGGATATTATTTTGTTCTTGTTATTCAAGGGAAATCGTGGTACCCTAGACTCTACTAGATTTATATAGTCTCTATTGGCATGATTGGGCTACAAACATGACAAATTTGCATATATTATCATTTTGCAGGCAAGTCAGAAATTGCTGACATATGAGATTGTTTTGAGAACTTGCTAGGGGTTGTATGGGGGTCAGAGCACAGTCCATATAAAAACAAACATTATAGATGGACGTCAGAGCAATCTCCTACTACCCAGACTTTAATAATGCAAAACAGATTCAACCCGACTCTCTTCTTTTCATCAATAGCTTACATTTTTGTCAAAGTTGATTTGCCCCTTGGCTTCACGTAAGCTTTGTTTCAGCCATTCTACATCGCCAATTGCAGCTGCCATAAATTCATCATCAGCAATTTTCTTTTCATTGACATTTGCAAAACGTGGACGGCGTTTTCTGGACTTTGCAGAATCTAAACTACTTCCAATTTTTGTAAGATCAGACATCGTGAATGTTTAAAAAAATCACTTGTAAATATAGGAAAGGTTTCTCAAAAGGAGACAATTTTTGAGATTTTCTATTTCTTCTTCACATGGGCCGCCATTATTGTTTATGCAGGTGCCATGAGTGACCAAAAGCTATCTCTCTAGACTTTCCCATACAGTTGATAGAAAACACCGAGTCTAATAATTAAAAAGTAAAAAGGTGGGAATATTTAACTGAATAAAGAGATATGTGGTTTGGAACCAAAAACCCTTTTAGGAACAACAATTCGATTTAAATGAGGGAAAATCTGATAAAAAAAATCTCTTGATTCTCATCTGAATAAATGTATGAACGTTGTCGATATTTGAATATCACATTTTGAAAATAATTTAGAAATAAATAAAAGAGTACATAATACGCCTATTTCTAGAACAAAAATCATACTTCAAGAACTCGCAAAGCAGTTTGTGTTTGTACCGGCCGACAAAGCAGCCAACAATGTGGTGCCGTAAATACTACACGGACGTTCTTAAGGATGTTCGCTCCTCTGTTTAAAAACAACAAGCTTTTTAAAAGACTGTTATAAATTGATAGTATATAAATAACTGAACTTAAAAAGCAGAAAAAAAATGATAGGTCCGTGACCTTGTTTTTGAGATATAATCAATTGAAAATTTGGCGGGAAATGATTCTCTCTAGACTTTTCATACATTTAACATTGGCACCTTTTTTCTTTAAAAAACTATGAAAAATAACAAGGGTTTTATAAGATTTTCATAAATGGCTAGTTAAACTATATGTTATAAAATTATGAACAGAAAAGTAGGGGTTCGCGGGAATTTTTTTTATTGGTACTACAAGGATAAAACTAGAGGATTCCGAATATCTGACAAAAAAGTCAAAAACAAGAGTAGCGAACATCCTTAAGAATGAAATTTTAAATTCTTCTACATTCAAGTCCGTGTGCTCCACACTCGAGGCTCCACAGAGAGTCAGTATAGTAAACACGTGATAGTAAACAATCATATCATAACCACATCACAGCTTAAGGCCTCTTCTGAGCATTTGAAGGTCCCTACTATGTATTGGTTACCTAAACCAGAGACATCTCTGCCTAAACTACACAAAAAACAGTAAAATATCGTTTCCGATCTCGGCTTCTAGTAAGCGTTCTACAACTAATCTTTCAGTGCTTTTAACTAGTTCCTTAACTACTATCAAAGAACCTATCGTTAACTTTTGTTATAAAACATATGAAAATAGTGGAATTAACTATTTTTGGAGTGTAAAATTTTTTTTGGATGTTTTAGATAGATTACGTGCTTTTGATGGTCCTTTTGATTCTGTTGACAGTTTTGACTTTTCACTTGAACTATTTACACTACACTTCCACAAAATCTTATCAAACGTTTTCCTATTTAATTAAATGGTCGTTTGGTAAATCTGAATGCAAGTATATTTGCTGCAACTCATTTAAAGTCTTCTTCTCTGATGAGAAAAGTAAATATGCTAGATATACTTACTGGAGGTGTGATGAGATAATTGAAGCTGTTAATATTCTCCTGATAATATTAATGTACGTTTCGACAATAAAGTTTATCGACAGGTTGTTGGTATAATCCTATGGGCACCAATTGCGTCCCTTTAGTAGCAAACTTGTTTTTGTACTGTTATAAATCACAGTTTATGACCAAACTCAGTAAAGACCCGTCTAAATTGCATTTAATTGATAAATTCAACAACACTTACCGTTATCTTGATGATATTTTTTCGTTAAATAATCAAGAATTTTCAAAATATACTGCCGAAATTTACCCAAAGGAACTTACTTTAAATAAATCAAATATAAACGGTAATAACTGTCCTTTCCTAGATTTAGATATTTCAGTTTTACACGGGAAACTCTACACTAAAATTTACGACAAAGGGGACAATTTTTCGTTCGCTATTGATTATTTTCCTTTTTTGGACGGTTATGTTCCTTTGGCGCCATCTTACGGTGTTTATATATCACAACTCGTTCGCTATGCCCGTGTCTGTTGTGGCGTTTTGGATTTCAATGAACGTAATCTATGTATTACTGGTAAATTATTAAGTCAGGGATTTCGTTACCACAAATTACATAAAACCTTTACTAACTTCTTCCATAGATATACAGATTTGGTTTGGAAGTATGGTTGAACCTGTAGAAAACATATTTTCAACGGGATAGCTCATCCTAATTTTTACGGAGAAGTTGTTTACCGAGCCCGGAAATTTTGATACGATCCGGGTAAACTTATCGATCCTTAAAATAAACTTATTCTAAAAGGTTACCAATTCAACACTATAATTAGATCTTTGAACATTTTTTTATTGGTATTAACATTGATTTTGTTATCAGTAAATTAAAATCAAACTAAATATTAGTTTTATATACATATGCACTTTCATGGCTCTACAATCTGTCGATACCTATATCTTGGCATTGCACAAGGTCATGTTTTTCTCTGACTGTTAATGACGTCTTTATACTTAATTCATTGGATGTTAAATGTGTACCGATTGATATTTTAGTCTTAGATGCATGATTTTTTAATTAGTTGTTATTGGCTTTGAACTAGCTGTCAGTAACTGCGAGTACTCTCAGATCTGGACTTAGTGTCTTTTTATTGTGGAGATGTATAAGTACCCTACCACGTCCACTCTGTGTTTTTGTTACTTGTTTTTGTGCTTTGTATCGATCTGATGAGTTAAGCCCTTTTCAACTGATTTTTATAGTTTGTTCATATGTTGTACTGTTACACCACTGTCCCAAGTTAGGGGTGGGTTGGGCGCCCGCTAACATGTTTAACCCCGCCACATTCTTTATGTGCCTGTCCCAAGTCAGGAGCCTGTAATTCAGTGGTTGTCCTTTGTGGCTGTATATCATATTTGTTTTTCGTTCATTATTTTGTACATAAATCAGGCCGTTATATTTCTCGTTTGAATTGTTTTACATTTGTCATTTCGGGGCCTTTTATAGCTGACTATGCGGTATTGGTTTTACTCATTGTTGAAGGCCGTACGGTGACATATATTTGTTAATTTCTGTGTCATTTGGTCACTTGTGGAGAGTTGTCTCATTGGCAATCATACCACATCTTCTTATTTTTATATGTACACATATTTGCATATATGTTTCTGGTATAGCTGAACGATTATAGTAAAATTCTTATTGAAAAAAAATGTTTTCTTAAATTATTTGTAAGCACATGCTTACACTAACGTCCAATAAACAAGTTCAAAACAACAATACAGAGGAAAAGAATTACTTGATTGATAGAATATAAATGATAAAAATAAAAAGATTTAGTAATAAAATAAATAAATTACAAATTCATGAATGTTAATTAAAAATAATTTGTCTTTAATTGTATATGTCAATTTAAAGTAATGCACATATAAGCAAGCTTAGCAACAAATGAAAATAACTTATCAATCCGGAAAAATCCTCCTGGCCCCCAAGACACAAGTGTAATATTAAAGTATATAGCTAAAAAAAATTCTGAGACAAGAGTCTGTGCTATCACATCACCAAATTCAAAAACAATCGCACAAGACAGAAATTTTCCTACCTTAAACTTGACTGAATGTGAAAGTTAGGAGATGAATACACGATTTTCACGGTACCGACAAAAGATAGACAATAATTTGATAGAAATAAGGAGATTTGGTATGATACCTATTAGACAATTGCAACTATCGACCAGGGTCCCAATGACGTGGATAAAAGCAAATGAATGAGCAAAATCCATATCGTATAGTCAACTATAATAAACCCAAACATGACAAAATGTGACATAATTCAAGCGAGAAAACAAACTGTCTGATTTAGGACAAAAAATACAAACGAAAAACAAATATGACAGACAGCGACCAACAACAATCACTGAATTCCCGGCTACTGACTTTAGGCATTCACTTAAAAAAATTGCGTGGTTAAACGTAATAGTTTGAGCGCTCAACCCTCCCCCATTTTCCGGGACGCTGGTGTAACATCACAACATAAGAACACACTGTAAACATCAGTTAGAAATGGCTTAACTCAATAGATAGCTAGCTATAAAACCAAGTTTAACCCACCATTGTCTTCGGAAAATGACTGTACCAAGATAGGAATATGACAGTTGTTTTTCACTTGTTCCGTTGATTGATAACGTTTGATTTTGTCAGTTTTTATGGAATTTCCCTTTTTTTAAATTTACATTGGAGTTCGGTATTATTATTATACTTATAAAGTACATGTACAAAGCACAAAAACAACTTGCATTTAAAACAAAAGACACAAAAGTACCGATCTAAAGCACTCACACTTACTGAAAGCTAGTTCAAAGTCAATTAAAACTAATGAATACACATATGATTCGTTACCGGAAGAAACAACACAGACATTTGAAATTAAATAGGGCTTAATACAACACCTCCTTTAAACAAAAGAAGGGTGAACTAAGGGAAACGAGGAACCAATATTTTCTAAACGATGACAATATCCTAAAACATGTTTGACTATGTCAGAATGCAGTGGAAAACGGCCTTATTCAGATAAGACAAAACTGCAAAATTTGGAATTTTTCTATAAACAATATACTTACAGAATTGAATATGAAGTGTTTCACATATATCTTCGACGGCATTCGAATTTTAATCAGAAAATGTTTTAAGTTCTAATATCGCGTTTTGAATTTTGGGTGTTTTTTTTTTTAATCAAAAAAATTGTCTATAAAAATATGCATCTAGTTTGAAAGAATTAACTCAGAAATGTTTCAGAAAATAAAACAGATAAACAAATTATTTTTTTTCGACTTTCGTTTATCGTTCAATTTGCCAAAATTGTATGCAAAATTTTACCATAATTTGTATAGACCATTTTCTGTACTTTGAGGTCCTTTATAGCTTGCTGTGCGGTATGGGTTTTGCTCATTGTTGAAGGTCGTACGGTGACCTATATAGTTGTTAACTGCTTCGTCATTTGGTCACTGGTAGAGAGTTGTCTCATTGGCAATCATACCACTTTTTATATTTATGTCATTTTTAACATGGTAGTATCAAGAAGGTGTTATCGCTATTTGCAAGATATTGACATGACAAGCAACGAAACTAGCATCGAGTAGTTATAGCAGAAACATATAATACAACAGTGGCGGATCCAGGGGGAGGGGGGGGGGGTCTGGGGGTTGGAACACCCCTTTTTTGACGATCAATGCATTTGAATGGGGACATATATTTGGAACCCCCCTTTATCCTGGGTTAGGAACCCCCCTTTTATAAATGGCTGGATCCGCCCTTGTACAATCATGTATGTCTCTGGTAATATATAACTTAATATAAAAATAAGATGTGGTATGATTGCCAATTAATACCAATGAAACAACTCTGCACCAGAGACAAAATGACATAGAAGTTAACAATTTAAGGTCACCCATACCGCATAGTCAGCTATACATGCTATAAAAGGCACCGAAATGACAAATGTAAAACAATTCAAACAAGATAACTAACGGCCTGATTTATGTATCAAACAATGAACGAAAAAAGAACGAGATATACAGCAAAACACGACCACTGAATTACAGACTCCTGACTTGGGATAGGATCATAAAGAATGAGGCGAACCCCGGTACAATACATACAAGCCATAGAACACACGTGTATACCAGCTTCAAAATGACGGGGATCAATTTGAATTGTTATACATAATTAAATCTATTCCTACCCAAACACAAAAAAACTGAATGGTTTAAATTCTCGACCAAATAAAATTTTAATAAAATTAGGGCGAAACGATTCGGGGTGTGAACGAGATTCGGGGCGAAATAACCTGATTAGAAAGCGTTTCATTGATTCGGTTGTAATATTTCCCCTATGCTAAATTTAGATTTTTTAGATAGCATTTATGAAAACGGAAAGAAATAAGGAAAGTTGAATGAAAATCTCCCTAGAATGTTGTTGAAATAAGTTCAAGTGAACAACAACAGCCGTTACAAGTTTTTTTTATTGGACAAAGGTATAGTGACATTAGTGTAAAAAAAAATGTATGTATCTGCAGACTCAGACTGGATACAAACATAAATGTATCGTCAGATCATATGTTTTCGTACGTCATATGAATTCGTACTATGCATGCCTTTATCAGTTGAACGGCAAACGCCTGAATCTGACAGATAGAGGTCAATTTGTCGACAAAAAAAGTACCCGTATGTAAAATGTTTACGCCCACAAAAAGCGCCACCTATAATTTTTTCTACGGCGTCTTTGAGAACGATGTTCCGTTCTGTAGTAAATTAAAACATTAAACTAACTAAAACATAGAAAAGTAAGTGTATAAAACTAATAAAAAGATATATTTGCACATGACTGGTTATGCATGATACGCTGGCAATGTGCGCAATGTCCTTTAATCCAAGATTCAAAATTAGTTTGTTTCCTATGTCAAAATGGCGGATTCCAATGTTTACATTTTTCCATCGATTTAAGAGCTGACACAAATTCGTATCCAATCATTAATTTGCATATTATGTACTGTGTAGGGTAGCTTATCCAATGGGATTTACTGTTATAAAGTGGCTATACGTTACCATCCATCGTTACAACAGTGCCATGTGTTTTGTGTGTATAGCTCAGGAATGATGTGTATTCAATATTTACGGTAAATAATCAATGTTATGTTCATTATATTTCCATGCATACACAAGTCATAACAGCAAATGCATTTTTTATAGAACTTACTAGGTAAACAGACATGTTTAACTGTCTGCTTTAGCAAAAATTCGTGTAAATAAACCCGATGGGTCGTTTTGAATATTCAAGCATAGCAGACAAACACGTGGTAGATTATTGATGTTTGTTTACCTAAATTGCACGCTGTTGTTACTAAATACTTAGAAATAACCATTATCGTGTTATTATTGTTTAACAGCAGATAAAATTAATTTTACAATTGCATTTAACTACTTTCAAGAGTTATATAATACACCTTGCCTAAGAAATAGGTCTAGCTAGGTCCAGGGACCTCCTTTACTAGGTCCTTAAAAAAAGAGGCTGTAATAATGTACATGATGTAAATTACCATATTTACATTCCAGCATTTTTTTGCATTTGATATATTTCATATACATGTACATGTATGTACATAGAGCACAATAGAGTAAATGAACATACATGGGTTTAATTCCCACCCTAGGTATTAATTTTAATACTCATTAGAGGTTGGGGCAAATAGGGCAGATTGCAATCGACCATAATGTAGTGTCTAAAAATGCTGATTGATGTGGCCAAGTCCTCAACAACCTTTTTTCTAAGTATACAGCAGCTCCTTTAAGGATTAGTCCAGTGGCTAAGTCCTGTCTTTTTTGTCTCTATTATTTCCTTATTTATATTATTATATTTCTTATATTCTCTTGTACATGTAGTAAGCTAAAAAGCTATCATTACTCTTTTTCCTCATCTGCCTGATAACAATGAAATGTATTCATTGTTGATGTCTGTAAAGTGACTTATAACATGTATAATTTAACTGCTAACAGACATTTGGACTCTGGTGGATAGTTTCTATACTGTTATTTCATTGGCAATCATACCACATCTCTTTATTTTAGTACAGGTTAAGTATTTAAAGTAAGTGACTAACAAACATTAAATTCTGCAATGATTTCAGTTTACATATATCAACAATAAAATTTTGGTTGTATAAATTGTGTCATTATGTTTATAATGACCACTGTAATTGTGAACTGCCATGACTGTCTTGTACAAAATATATTTGAATAAGTTCCCTAATAAATAGTATATAGATGTTTAAAAAAACAAATGTATGTACTAGTTCCAGATCTATCAATTCAAAAATAATTGATGTTTTTTTTAATTAATTGAATAATAACAACTTATTGTAATAATCATGATATTAAAATACAAACTAGCATTCTTATATGTGATACATATATAACTTAATGCAGCTTATTCTGAAATTGTAAGGTATGTCATAAAAAAGAGATTTTTTGTAAAAGTTACCAAAATTGTCTGTATTTCAACCACATTTAGGCCTAGGAACCTTAAATTTTTAAGTGTAGAGGTTGACAAGTCATGACTGTAAATTCAGATATTATCATGAGGTTTGTATTAAAGTAAATAATGCGATTAAATTGATTATCTCAATAAAAAGAACTCTCATTCTGATTTGATACTATGAGATTTTTTCTGATATTAGAAAAATAAATATCTCATTGTTGTCCATTCTTCAAAAAATTTCTGAACATACTGTACATGTATTTAAGTCAGCTTTGTTTTTGTCTGAGACTACTATAACATGGGAAGTGACCAATCTCTATGTTAATTGTTATAGTAGTCTCAGGTTTTTGTTTTGTAGTTCAATTGACTATGCATTTTAGAGCAGTTAAATATGAATTTGGATTAAATTTGAAGTTGATTCAGTATATTTTATGACATAATAACACTCTTTTATTTAAACCAAGCATTTTCAGACTTTATTTACAGACCAGTTTAGCTAATCATTCATTATTCAATCAATAATTTAATTAAAGGACTCAACAGTTGTTTGTAGGACTTATGAATTCAAATATAAGGGAAAAAAATCAAAACTTGAAGTAATACATGTAATAGGAATTATGAGAACTGCATGATATCAGATTGCAATACAGCTTTTTGTTCAGTTTTCTTTGTGTTGATTATAATGTTTTAAATCCCTTTCTGGCTTTTTGGATGTTCAGATTTTTTCTCTTGATTAAGAGCGAGCAACGGAACTTGTACATCTTATATAGTTTCTTATCTCGGGGGTGGATCAAGCAAATTTTCAAAGAGGAGGGGGGCATGTATTGTCTACATTTTCTTTTTTTCCATATTGTATTTTAATGTAATGCAAAGTTAAATTCTATTGTAACACAAGTTCTGCTGACAAATGGCTGATAAACCCCTCTTGTATGTAATTATTTGGCATGAAATGAAATATGTTTTTTCTGTATATGGAAATTAGGAATAATCCACCCTCTCTTTATAAAAGACCTGGATCTGCTTAAAAGTTCTTGCTTTTCTCAGGATTTTCCATTGTTACATCAGGAATAAAGGCTACCAATAATCATGCTTGACGATCATTGAGGTCACACATAAAGAACCCATCTCTTTGCAGATCATAGTAGAAAAACAAAGATACAATGTAGTTGGTAACATAAATGTATTTAAAAATATCAAGAGAAACATTCCCATACAGAATCTCTGCCAATAAGTTATTTTTCCACTCTTAACAGTGAAATCTTAAATATGTAAATTGATCGGCAAGCCTCACATCTTGAAAAATAAAATGTCTGTAGGAAAGAACTATTGTTTCACAATTGATGCTGTGTTAGAATTTATAATATCACTCTTTTTTCTCCATATGATCAGCATAAAAAGTGACAAGTTCTTCAGTCTAAATAACTTTGTTAAATCTCATTTCTGATGGAACATTTTCAGTGCACCAGATTAACAACTTTCTATGTTAGATACTTATTTAAATATAAAAATTCAAGTCTAATTTTAGAGTGAAATTTTAATATATTTAAACAAACTGTTCTAAACAACCAACATGTACAAACACTGAGTTTTTTTCATATCCTTTCTAAGAATATTGATACAAAGAAAGTAAAACAAAGACTTGTATCATTCCATCTACCAAAAGGGTGTTTGAGAATATACAAATAAGTCCAAGTTTCAGAGAAAAGTCAGTTATCTATAATTTTCTTCTTTGGAAGTTTTCAAAAACCTGTTTTAGGGTACTTGAAAAAATGCCATATTCAAACATTCCATGACTATTTTAATGTTACAAGAGTAGAGGAACATTAAATATTGAATGGTTATTCAAGAAAGTGTCGAAATATAACTACAATCATTAATTTTACTCGAATTTACTGTTGTGAACTTGCAGTTTCCTACGACGCTTGTACGGAGTTATCTCCCGTTGATCTCCGCTTCGCCACGAATAAGCTGACACAATTGCGTATCCGGGGAATTTATGATCAATAATTAATATATAAGATCCAGAAAATGGTTTTACTTCATATTTTATACCCCTCCATACGTTACCAAACCCATTTAAGAAATGATTTGGGATTTTCCGTAGACCTACGCAAATTTTCCAAAAAAAATTTCAACTTCCATCGTTGTTTTAGAATACTTTTATAACACCTTTCATAAATAAGTATACATAATAATGAAGCTTATTCACTCAAGATTTGGACCCTACAAGTTTTATTTATGTACGAGTTACAATTAGACGATACGAGGTAAAAAACCGAGAGATGTACACGTTCACAAGAAAACAGTAAACTCTGACCTTTTATCACGTGACCAATGTCTTGAACTTAGACGCCATTAAATCGTTTGCCGTTCAACTGTTATAGGGAAAATTGTGAAGTCATAATGCATTCTAAATAGCACGAAAACCCATACTTGACACGAGGATAGTTCAAGAAATTTGAAAACTTAGCATAAAATGAATTTATCCTCTGTTGAATGTTGGAGACTTTCATTCTTTACTGACGTTAAATGTATTTCATGGATATAAACAAAATTTTTCTATCTAATTAAAGAATTATAGTTTTTGCTCCAAAAAACTCTCAATTTGAGCTTAAATGAATGATTTTATATATGTGAACCGAATCAAAATAAAACTTTCCTTTTCATATTCCATTCACAGCATTGTGAGTAATACACCTTATCACTATTTGTCCGCTAATCTCTTTTGGGATTCTGTGTCTGGAGCGATTTTCTGATTATACCATAAAATCGCTTTGGAAACAGAATCCCTAAAGGGATTATATGGTCACCATTACTTTACATCACAGAAGTTCCCTCAAAATCTTAAGGTCACAAGAAAAGAGGTCTGACACTACAAAAGAAAAGTGATTGTTGTATGACAACAAATTATAGTTCAAGTGTCGCAAGTTCTTGGGCAGAGTGTCGCACATTCCTAAATAGCAATAAGGTTTAGCGGACAGAATCTTAATCCTGATGGGAAAGGAGCAGGCTTTTGGTAATTGCAAGGATTTGTATAGTAAGAAGTTTTTCTTACTATACAAATCCTTGGTAATTGTAATCAGTAATCAGCTGTAATCAATTACAATTTTTCAAGTAATGATTGTAATCATTAATCAGCCAAAAAATCTGATTACATGTAATTTAATTTAATCAATTACTTTTCAAAATACCTTGTAATCCTGATTACTTTTTGATTACACATGATTAAAATGAAAAAAATACTCAAATTGTGTTTATGGTTAATATATCATGCCTTAAATGAACATTTTTATTATTCAGATCTAATAAATATATAACTTGTTAAGATAGTTTTGTTTACTTTAAGCATATTAAGATATTATGAAATAGTGATATACATGTAATATGATACAAACAAAATGTTATTTTAATGATTCTTTTACCCTTTATTTATTAATATCATTCAAATGGGTTATTTTGAAATTCATTATAATCATGATTACTTGCCAATGTAATCATTAATTTAATTGGTTACTTTGAGAAATGGTGTAATCATTAAATAATTTAAGCCTACAATTGACAAATTAATTGTAATTTAATCAATTACATTGAAAGTAATCAGACCCATCTCTGGAAAGGAGAAAAATAAGTGCACATTCTTCTGTAGCTTGCATTTGTTATCCTAGTCAACAGTTGTTATCATGGCTATCATCAGAGGCAGAGATTAGGCCAGGATTCTAGACTTAAATCTATTCATGGAGTGTTGAAAACTACTTTACAGGGGAGGGGAATCCCTTTACACTTCAGTTCAGGGATGGGGTAATTGAAAAAAGTAATTGCAGTTGACTGCAATAAATAACTATTTCTTGTGTAATTGAATGTAATGTGTATTTAAGAATAACATTCAGAAAAGGTTGAGTAATTCCAATCTCATTTCAATTATGTCCATTAATTAGAATTCTTAATAAAAATTGAAACAAAATGTATTCTGATATATTAATTAGGATTAGTGCAAATATATTTTCCTTATTCTAAGAAAAATGAGAAAGCATTTATTAAATGAATATGGCAATATCTGTCATATTAAAATGATATGAATATAATTTGTTTCTAGTATATAACTGTATCTATTTCAAAGATACATGTATACAGGGGCCGATTTAGCACCCCCCCCCCCCCACCCTTCCCCTCATTATGGAGCTTCATTTATGGTTAATCCAGACTATTTACTGGTTCCAAGATAAATTTTGTCTAGTTCAGGGCCCCCCTTTTCAAAATCCTGGATCTACATCTGTGGTACATATTACTGATAAAGGCATGCAATTTTGTATCAATTCAACATGTTTTTGTAACTTTTTGCATGGCAGAACTTTCATAATAAATGTAAAATAATTTGTACATGTATACATAGCTTTACATGTACTTCAGATAGTTTTTTGGTTTTGGCTATAAATGTCCTTATCAATTTAGATAAATATTAAGAAAATTTCAGTTTTGTGAATCTTCAAGCATATATAATTTGGTTACATGTTCAAAAATGATATTTATGATTGTAAAAGTTTGAAAAGTTTTTATAAAATAGCCCTTCAGGAAATGAAATAAAATCAGGGGACATTGATACTACCTCTTTTCTAGTTTGCCTTGTTTATGTTTTGCAAAACTCTACAGAACTTTAGAAGAATCTGATTTTCTCACAACTGCTGCTTTCATAAAAATCCCACTTATTAAAATTTTGGTTTATGCCTTCAGTGTATTTTCTTTATTACATGATAATTAATTGTAATGGTACTCTGATGTATAAATTGTGAAATACTAATTTACATTTCAATCTTTGTTAAATTTTCAGTACAAAAAACAGGAGAATGGAATCAATGATAGGACAGTGTACCATGTGTGGCTACAATGCATTAGTGAAGCATGATGGGTATATGGTTTGTGAAGAATGTGGTACTATTAACAACGAAGATATGATCACATCTGAGTTTCAAGATTACGAAGGTTACCAATCAGCATCACAGAACAAGTGGATTATGAATGATAAAAAGAAACATCTAGCACATTTTGATGGTAAAATTCCAGATGGCAAAAGAGAAGGCCTTTCACATATCAAAATATACAGTAAATTATTGACTTTTTCTTCAGATATGGTAGAAAGAGCAGAAAATATGTTTTCTATCTTATATAAAGACGAGGAGGTCATACATAAAGTAATGGAGGCAAAAGAAGCACTGTCATCAGCTTGTTTATTTGTTGAAGGACGAAAGTTTGGTCAGGTGATATCCATTAAGGAATTCAGCAAGGTTACTGGAGTTAAAGTAGGTCTATTAGTAAAGGCAATAAATCTTATTAAAAGAAAATTTTTCATCACATTACCAAAAACAACAATTGCAGAAATGTCTGTTGAAATTGCATTCAAGAATAACATTGAACCAGATGTCAGACGAGCTGCACAAGAAATTATATCATTGTGTGATAGAGCTTGGTTAGTAACAGGTCGTCAGCCACAAAAGATCATTTGGGCAGCTTTCTATATATCAGTAAAATCTTATTCTTTGGATGAAAATAGGAAGTTAACACAAACAAATTTTATGAAGAAGCATGGTCAGAAAGTTAATGTTCAGGACAAAGAAAGACTAAACGAAATTTTAGAAATTTTGAAGGATATTGGTGACACCATACCTTGGGCTTCAAATAAAAACAAGAAGGATTTTGTATATCACAATCTTAAAGACATTTTAAAATACAGTAAGATGGCATTGATGGAAAAAAGAATGAAATTTTTAAAGGAAATGGAAAATTCACAAAATATACAAAATGGAGAAAGTGATGAGTCCACATGTCACAAACGTAAATTAGAGACAGGAGCCGAAGAGAATATAGATATTTTTCAACCACCAATACTGAAGAAAGTAAGACACCCAGTAGATGAAGACAGAACTATTCCACCTTCAATTAATGTTGATTGTGATATTGAAGACATGGGAAGTGATATTGATGAAGAATTAGATGGCTACTTACGTTCATCAGAGGAAGTAAAACAAATGGAAATTGCAAGAGCTTTAATAATTGATAAACAATAATGTTGCTTAATTCTTTTCTGACAATTGCCTGAAAATACTCCGTTAAAATGTTCCTTTCCTTTACAGTGTTTATAAATTATATTATTTTGCCTTTTATTTTAATTTTTAATTCCCTTTAAGTTCTTCGTGATACTTAAATGATTTGAGCTGTTTCCTGCAAACATTAAAAAAAATGTTGGCAGAAGAAAGTAAGGAAACCATCAAAAAGCATATTTCAAAGAAAAACAGACCAAGATCAAAATTTTAAAGAAGACATATAAAAGTGAAACAATAATATACATAAACTACGCATAAAACTATGATTGAGCAACATGAACCCCACTAAATACTATGGGTAATCTCGGATACTCTGATAGGTTCAGCAGTTCCTCCTTCACCGGTGGCACCACTTACACGGTTCAATAGCTTCCTTGTAAGCAGCAACCCTATATCAAAGAAATAACAATGGGAAAAACAAGCCTTAGAATATTAATTGTATAAACTGTATTCTTCATATGCAGGTGCTGTTGGGATGAAATATATTCTCAACCTAGACTCATTGTCAGTAGGTTATTCTGTAGGTGGCCTGTTGAATGGCAAAATTTCTGTCTGAATATGTGGATGAAATATTTGCCACTGGACTTCAAGCAAGCAACAATCAATCAAAAAAATCATGGACACTTGACTCCAAATCACACATGACGACGTTTCTTTTGGCAGCAACATTAGTATCAATATTAGACAAAGTACTGTACAATACAAACATGTATCATACCACATCTTATTATAATCTTTTCTCATCATTTATGGTTGTCGTCTGTTAACTTATACTCAAGTTTTCTCCTCTTAAACTACTGGGCTAATTTGAACCAGACTTGGCGACAATCAGCATAGGAGGAAAATACATTTTTTGTCTATATTTTATCTTGAAAACCCCTACAGAAAGAAAAAAATCTGACATAGGCAGAAATGTTCAGAAAGTTGAGATCTATCTACTATTCATCCACACATCAAAACTGTACTACGATTTTTATACGACCGCAAAAAAATTTTTGGGATCGTATAATGGTATGATGTCGTCATCTGCGTCGTCGTCCGAAGACACAATGGTTTCCGGACAATATCTTTAGTTTAAGTGAATGGATCTCTATGAAATTTTTTAAGAAGGTTCAATACCACAAAAGGAAGGTTGGGATTGATTTTGAAGATGATGGTCCCAACCATTTAGGAATTAGGGGCCCAAAAGGGGCTGTGTATGGATCTCTCTGACATTGTACCACAAGGTTCCATATCACAAAGGGAAGGCTGGGATTGAGTTTGGGGATAATTGCCCCAAACTTGTAGGAATTAGGGGCCAAAAAAAGGCAAAAAACAAGGATTTTTCTAGTTTCTAGACAATAACTTGTGTTTAAGTGTTTGGATCTCTCTGAAATTGTACTACAAGGTTCCATACTACAAAGGGAAGGATGGGATTGAGTCTTGGGGTAATTGCTCCAAAGGGGGTTTCCCAAGTTTGTTTTTTTTTGGGGGGGGGGGATTTTTTTTCCAATTTTTTTAAGGAATTTATATTTTTTTCTAAAATTTTCAAATTTCAAATGTTTGAAAAGTTTAAAGAAGAAATCTTCAATTGCGCAGTATTGGGCAATAGATTTGTAAGATCTTTGACCACATTTATTTTGTGTCAGAAACCTTTATTATGTCAAAAATTTGATCACAATCAAAATTCAGACAGTATCAAGCTTGAATATTGTATCCAAATTAGCTCCAACTGTTCAGGGTTGGACCACTGCATTCGTATCAGGCTGCGCTCAGTGAAGCATTTTATTTATATGAGTTATTGCCCTTAAATGACGATTTTTACCATTTTTTTTGTGTTTTTGCCTATTATCTTGAAAACTATACTAGATAGAGAGAAACTTGAAATAGTAAGCAATGATCAGCAAGACGAGATCTACAATTATAAAGGTCCACACGGCTGAAATCGACAGTCAACTCCTTATTGGAGTTATTGCCCTTAAATACGATTTTTACCAATTGTTTGCCTATTATCTTGAAAACTATAGGATATAGATAGAAACTGTAATTAGCAAAACTGATCAGCATGATAATATCTACTAATAAGCCAGATGGCTAAAATCTTTAGTTGACTCCTTATAGGAGTAATTACCCTTAAATGACGATTTCTACCAATTTTTTGGGTTCTTGCTTATTATTTTGAAACTATTAAGAGATGGAGAGAAAACTATAATAAAAAGAATGATCCACAAGGCAAGATCTACAAATAAGTAGATATTGCTGAAATCGTTGGCCAATTCTTCATAGGAGCCAGTGCTCTTAATAGTCCGAAATTGCTCTGACGTCCAACGGCTGTTTTGCCAGACAAACTGGGGCCGTGGGCAGCTTGTTTGGCAAAACAGCCGTTGAAAGTCAGAGCAATCTCGGACTGCTCTTAAATGCCAATGTTTACATTTTGGCTATTAATATCTCAAAAACTATAAAAGATAGATGGGAACTTTAAAAGCAAAGATGATCAGCAAGACAAGATCAGCAAATAAGTCAGTATAGATTAAATTGTCAGTTGTCTTCTTATAGAAGTTATTATACGTAAATGGCGATTTTTACCCTTTTTGTGTTTTTGGAAAAAACTATCGAAAATGGAGAAATTGAACAGAAAAATTATCAGCAATACAAATTCAACAAAAGAGAGATTTTAGTCATGTCATATGTTTTCGTACTATGCATGCTTTTCAATGGAAATTGTGACGTCACAATGCATTCTTAATAGCACGAAAACCCTTGAGACGAGGATATATATTCTATTCTACAATGTTGGAGAGTGTCCATTGTTGAAAAAGCACATTGACATAGGTGAACGACACACTCCGACTCTCTAGAGCTTTTAGTTGTTTAATTTATTCATAATGTCTTTAATGCTTGGGACGATTTGGAGTTATGGATATTGTATAGGCACCACCCCCGTCTTTTATTGAAAACTGTATGTAACCTCTCGATGTCTTCCGGTTATTTGTGTTGTTGGTTCATTTACCCAATATCTCCGTTTTGTCATGCAGCAATTGTAACTTGATAAAACAGGTTACTACGCAATACCAACCATTGATTGTTTATAAAAATATAGGTAGTACAAGTATGCATCACACGATTTTTGAGAGTGAGATGGAGGATGGACGAATGTGTTAGTCAAAATAAGGAGGTTGGACGGTAAAAAAAAAAGAATAGTATCGTTATACTCGTATCAGGCTGAGACACTAGTATAACCCCAATATATTTGCTCGAGGGATTATACTGTTTAAGGGTTGATAAGTTGCGTGATATTGAAAAATCCCATATCATAAACCTAAAATAGACGTTTTCACGTGGTGTAATACAGTGTCTGAAATTCATTTGAAGAAGTAGTATTCCATGCATTCTCATCAATAACAAACAACTCTAATCATATGCTACACTTTTGAAAGCATTAAAATACAGGAGTGCACATGCTGAAATGTCTGGCATGATTTACTGATTATGATTGAATTACATGTTGAAAAAAGTGGAAGATACCAAGGGGTCATTAAACACATGCATCTTACAACGCCATGACAAAAAAAAACGAAAGACGACCGAAAAAACAAACAAATTCACAAAACGCTACATAGAAAACTAAAGACTGAGCAACACAAATCTTCCAACAAATGGGGGTAATCTCAGGTGCTCGTGAGTCTCATTTAGTGAAGTCACAAATGCAGGAAAATAAATCGGGATTGTAGTTACGACGATTGGAACATATTTCTGTCACAGATATTCATAACCGTAAACTGTCAATCAACTCAAGATGGCGTCCGTATAACCTTCGAAGGGATGACTTTACCATTTGGAACCCTCGTTTCAATAGATTCCTTGTAAGTAGTTACATTTCATCTAGAAAATCATGGTAGGAAATAAACTCATCATAGATACCAGGATTGAAACTTTGTATTTGCGCCAGACGCGCGTTTCGTCTACAAAAGACTCATCAGTGACGCTCGAATAAAAAAAAGTTTAAAAGGCCAAATAAAGTACGAAGTCGCAGAGCATTGAGGATAAAAAAAATCCTAAAAGTTTTGCCAAATAACGCAAACTCTGAAATATTATACCAATTGGGAGATATACGCTCCATGTGCAGACGCTGTTGAATTGATTGATTAATTGATTGGTTGATGCTTAACGTCACCTTCAGCACTGTTGGTAATTTCGTGGTGGCCAGTTTTTATTGGTGGAGGAGGCCGGAAAGAACCACCGGACTGCGGCAGGAAAACGGACAATCCTAACCAATTAAGATTGGAGTCGAACGCATCTGCCACGGGCAGGGCTCGAACTCACAACATCATTGTTTGCAGGCTAGTGATACAATAGTTCAACTACTTAGACCACTCGGAAACCGAGGTCACTAGGCGCTGCTGGAATGCTGTTACATAGAAATGGAAAGTTCATAATTAGAAAGCACCATGCCCCCCCCCTCTTAAATCCGCCTCTGGTTAATATCTAGATGTTAGTGAAGGTATGAGGTAGCTAAGACTATACTGTATCTGTGGTATCTTTTATTTCAAGTTCGATGGTTAGATGCGTTCAGCATTGTAAATATAAAAATTGAGTACCTTGATGATGGCAGTCTCGACCATTGATTTTGAATGACACAAATTATAACTAATTCTTTCAATCTGTCTTTAAGATTTGAATGGGGAATACTAGTGTAAAGGGTAGAAAAGTCAAATATTTGTATACTGTTGCAAGAGGTAGAGACTTAGATTTATGTACTCTTAACAGATCTTTGGAGTTGTTCAATATCTTCAAGCACGAAGAAAAAAATTCTGGAAAACTGATTTGCCGGACTGACAGATGGACAGACAGACTGACAGAAAGACGGACGGAGTGCAAACCTAAAGTCCCCCTCGACTCCGTCGGTAGGGGACTAATAACAAGAGGCTCTCGAGAGCCGGTGTCGCTTACCTGATTCTACTTTGGTTTTGGAAATCATGTAAAAATAGATTAAAATCATAACAGATACCCTAATAATGATTGAGGCCAAATTTGGTTCAATATTGGCGCCGTAATTTAATCAAAAGCAGAAGACTTTTGTA